GCAGTCATATTCATATATTTTTCCTCTCTAATTTCCTTTTAAAATAGTTTTTTCTCATACATATCTTTATCTAAAATTTATTTAAACCATCAATCCCACTAACGTTTTGTAAGTGGTTTTTTTTTTTTTTTTTTCCTTTTACTATCTTCCAATTTTCCTTCTCTTCTCATTTTTTTATCTTCCATTTTTTTCATTCTTATTTTTTTGCTTTATTGTACTTTTTTTTTCTTTCTCCAAATGTGACCCTTATAGATATATTAGTAAAAAAATGCGCACTCCACGCACGTTACTCATTTAAGTCAACAATTATACAAATTGTTAAAAAAAAAGAGAAAAAAAGAAAAGAAAAGAGATAATAAGAAATAAAGATAAAAGTGCAAAAAAAAAATAAGAGACAAAAAAATGCCTAAGAAAATTCACCTAATGGTAGGGAAAAACCCCTTGCGAAACGTTTCGCATACTTTCTCCCGTGAGCGAAACATTTCGCAACAATCTGTATAAAGTTTATTCGCTAGGAATAGATAAAAAAGAAGTTTTTTTTTTTTTGGTGAATTATATAAAAAAGAAGTTGTCAATTGTACCAAACATGTGGTTTCATATGTATAAAGGTGAATAAGAAAAAGACAAAATAGATCGACCATATTTTTAAATAGTGTTCAAAGAGAAACCTCTTTTATAATATAATAATAGATTTTTCTCTCCAATTCCGAGTTAAAATAGTTATTTCTGGTATATATCTCTGTATATATTTCTTAAAACTGTCCTCCACCATCAGTCCGTGAGTTTTTTTTTTTTTTTTTTTTTTTTTTTTTTTTTTTTTTTTTCATTTTATCAATTTGAGTTTAGAATTCGAGTTTTATTACAGTAAAAAATTTTTAGAAACAGTCATATATAATTTTTTTGTTACAGTAAAAAACTCTCACATAAAATTACATCTCAATTTAAATTAAAAATTCTAATCAGCGAACTAAAAATGTCTTATTTTAAAGAAGAGACTAATAACTTTATGACAATATTTATTGTGATTATAATCACATAATTTTTTTGATTAATTTCGTCCGTTTATGTTATTTTACACTCATTCAAGTTTGCTACCCATCAAGTACTTTATGAGGAAAAAAAAAAAAATTGAAGTGGCGTGCTTACATCAATTCAGGGCCCCACTAGCTTCTAGAAGTGTGCAGGAAAATGAAAATTATTTGTCTCGATTCGAGTTTTATTACAGTAAAAATGTTTAAAAAATAGTCACATTTAACGTTTTTATTACAATAAAAAGTTTTCATATAAAGTCACATCTCAACTCGAATTAAACCGAATTAGCGAACAAAACGGGCCCTACATCTTGTTGTATGAAGGGTATGTTTAGTTCGGCCTCGTTCGTTTCGCTGATTCGAGTTGAGATGTGATTGTATGTGAGAGCTTTTTACTGTAGCAAAAAAGTTATATGTGATTATTTGTGAGAGCTTTTTACTGTAATAAAACTCGAATTCTAAACTCGAATTAGCGAAACGAACGAGGCCTTCGGTGATTTGAGTTTTTAATTCGAGTTGAGATATGACTTTATGTGAGAGTTTTTTACTGTAGCAAAAAAATTAGATGACGTTTGGTTCATATATTCAGAATCATGATTTAGAACTATTATCAATTTACGTGTATTTTTTATGAGAGAAAATATTATAATAAATTATTAACCATGATTCGAATCATAACACGAATCCTTACTTTAAAAAGTATTTTGTTATAACAAAATTCAAAATTTAAATTTAATTTAATAAAATAAACGGGACGGTTGTAGAGTCCTTAATACTCTCATTTACTTAAGGTCAATTGACGGTGATGGAAAAACTTGTTAATCGCCAAGTGACTTTATTATATAAAAGTCAAGTATTTTAGATGGCGAGAGAAAAACTTGTCTAATCAATCACTGCTTCTATTTATTTATTGTTAATATCTTGACGATATTTTGTCAAAGATTCGGTTCTACTTTCGACGTAGAATACTGACAAGTTAACGGTCTTTGGTAAAGGTATTTGAGAATTAAACAAAGGTATATAAGTGCTCAACTTATTAATTTAGGTTTTTAATTTAAATTAAAATATAATTTTATATAAAAAAATTTATTTTAGTAAGAATTTAAATTAAAATGAATGTTTTTGAATATTTTTTATTGTAATAAAATTTAAATTTTAAATAAAATAAACCGAATTTAAAAACTCGTTATTTTTCATGAATTGGTATGTGATTTAAATTAAAACAAATATTATAATAAAAAAATTAAATTTAAATTTTTATTAGAGAAAATATTATAAATATGACTTGTGATGACTTGAATGTACCGTTGAAAAACAATCAAACTTGATATCTCAGCTACTAGAGCTAGTTTCATTCATCAATGGCGAACCAATCCCAAGAAAGCGTCCCTGAGAGACAATCTTCTTTTTCTTCTTCATCAGCTTCAGTAGTAGTAGTAGTAGTCCCCTTCCCAGCTCAGAGCCATCTAAACCAGCTCTTGCAACTCTCTCACATCATTTCATCACGCAAAATCCCAGTTCACTACGTTGGCTCTACACTCCACATTTCCCAGGTCAAATCCCGGGCAAATCAAGCACTAAACGGCACCAAAACATTAATCCAATTCCATGACTTCCCAATTCCCCATTTCCCATCTCCTCTCCCATACGACACCAAATTTGTTTCCCATCTCATGCCTTCCTTTGAAGCCTCTGTCAAGTACCTTCGCGAACCTTTCGCTAATCTTCTCACTTTGCTCTCCAAAACGGCAACAAGAGTTGTCATAATCCATGACCCTTTGATGACCTCTGTTGTTCAGGATTCTTCTACTTTGCCCAATACCGAGTCTTACCGTTTCCATTGCGCCTCTTCTTTTTACTATTTCGCTAGTCTACGCGATACCTTGGGAATACAAATCCGCCATGATGGTGATAATGACCCTAAAAATATTCCATCTTGTGAAAAGTCTTTAACTCCTGAGTTTGGAGCTTTTATAGGTTACCAAGTTCAGTTTATGAAGAAGATGAAGACGTCTGGACATCTCTATAACGCTTGCAGGCTGATCGAAAGCGATTTTCTTGACTTCATTTTGGAGAAGGCGAGAGAGAGTGATGAGGATGTGAAGTTGTGGGCAATTGGGCCATTGGAAACTGTGACGAGCTTCAAGAACAGATGGGGAAACAGAGTGGATAGTCAAGGCCAACACAAGTGTTTGGAGTGGCTTGACAAGCAAGAGAGAAACTCTGTGTTGTACATCTCTTTTGGGACAACAACTTTCATGAAAGATGAGCAGATTAGAGAATTGGCAATTGGGTTGGAGAAAAGTGGGGTGAAGTTTCTGTGGGTCTTGAGAGATGCAGACAAAGGAAATGTTTTTGATGAAGGTGAAGTTAGGAGGCCTCAACTTCCACAAGGGTTTGAGGAGAGAGTGAAAGAGAAGGGAATTGTGGTGAGAGACTGGGCGCCCCAATTGGAGATTTTAGGACACTCCTCAACTGGAGGGTTCATGAGTCATTGCGGGTGGAATTCGTGCGTGGAAAGTATAAGTCTTGGAGTGCCCATAGCAGCATGGCCAATGCATTCTGATCAACCCATGAATGCTGTGTTTATCACAAATGTACTCAAAGTTGGTGTTCTTGTGAGGGAATGGGCAAAAAAAGATGAGTTGGTGAGTTCATCGGTGATTGAGAAAGTCGTGAAGAGATTGATGAAATCGGAAGAAGGAGATGAGATGAGGAAAATGGCTGAGGAATTGGGTAATGAATTGAGAAAGGCTACTGATGAAGGTGGAGTTTCTCGCATGGAGTTGGATTCCTTCATTGCTCATATCACTAGATAGGTTTTTTTTTTTTTTTTTTTTAAGGTATTCAGTCATTGCTCATCTGTTTTTATCAGTTTAATCTCACTAGATAGTTAAGCCTAAAGAAAATCAGAGCTGATTATCTGGTTTGATAAGGAATTGGGGCATGCGAATAAAAGATTTTCAACGTTTTTTATGGTTATTTTTGTCATTATTGTTGCTGCTTTTTGCATTCAGGTTTATTTTTGTTGAATCAAAATGTATTTCTATGTTGTTTCTTGTGTTCTTCGTCAAATAGATACATACCATATATTTATATATATACACACACGGAGTCTTAAATATATATATATATATTTTTTTTTTTACAATATATAGATTTCATACATAGATATATTTATGTAATCTTTGTCAATTGACTCAAACCTATGAATCATCAACAACCAGAACACGTTGTCCTCCTTTAACAATTCAATTCCCGCAAACGAAAAGCAAGAATCACACCAGATGATTTATACCCTGAATATGAAGTAGACTCGGGTAAGAATTACAAATTACAGAGGAAATTTTTGAATTCAGATTTTACCTTAACAGTCATTCGCCTTTCAGTAAAAAACTAAAACCTGTAAATAAGAATATTTGGACGAATAAAAACTGACATTATGACATATGGTACCATTTCCAAAGTTGGCACAACACGTTTACAATTTTGACGCGCTAAACTGTGAAGATCATGGCTAGCTACAAGTGATGAGGAATAAGAGTGGACTTTGAGAAAAAGAAAGGGTAGGGTCCTTCACTTCGCCGATTATAATTTGTGATTTGAGTTGAGTACATAGATTGAAGTTATAATTCAAATTGGAATTAAAACTGAAATCAAAGTTAGTGTTTAGGAGTGCACATGGTGATTCAAACCTTCCTCTCAATTCAAGTTGTGAGTGTTCACTTCACCAATTTCACAATTCCAACCACCACCCCCATTCAAGTTGGGAAATGAAAAAAAAAATAAAAATAAAAACTGAAAAACACGGAAATTAAAGAAAAAAACGCATACTACCAATTCATAATAATGTCTGTATAATGTTATGCACAAAAATCCAAAATTGCATATCATTGAATTTGCGACTACAATCCAACATAACCTGTTACAAAACAAATATTTCATACATGATAACTGATACGTGTTTATTTAGCGATTGTTATTTCCACCATGAGCCTGCCATGTAGTTCTCGCTATTTTATCCCTCATAAGACCCATCTCCCTTCGACTCGCGGTGTTTCTTGGTCCTTCCATACTCCGATTTGGGTTATGATTTTGATTGACATCCTCATCCGTGTTCAAGGGGTCAATTTCACTTACCGGTACCCCATCTTGTAAGTATTGATTTATGAAGCTGTCATCATGTTGATACATGCGTATGAAGTCATGTATCACAGCACAAGCAATAGGTATTCTCGTTTGTTTCTGCATCGCGTAATTGTTGATTATCTTTAGAATGCAGAACCTCGCTTTCCACACCCCGAACGCCTGCTCGATGCAATTCCTAATCGATGAATGGGTGTAGTTAAATAACTCCCGCTCACTTCGAGGTCGACCTCGACGTGCCCTATACTCTTGCAAGTGGTACGTACAACCGCGATAAGGAGCTAGGAAACAACCTGTGTTTGCGTAACCGGAGTCTACTAAATAAAATTTTCCTACATGGTGGGAGCAAAAAATATTTTAGCAGACTTGTAGCAACTTTTCAAACCAACACAGATTCAAACTCAAATTATTACCCATTTTAAGATTTGTGTGTACCTGTTGGAGGGACATGGAATTTCTTTTCTGGCGTTTCATTTGTTGATTCAAGAACTCGTGCGTCGTGCGCGGAACCCTCCCTCCCGGCAAGCATATACGTGAACTTCATGTCGAAGGAACACACCCCTAAAATATTTTATGAGTTGAATCCCTTCCTATTTCTCCAGACCTCTGCATTTTCTGGCGGCGGTACACAGGGAACGTGCGTCCCATCGAGCGCGCCAACATAGTTCTACGACAAGTATAATGAACGTTATTAGGAATCTCAAAATATTGCGTTAACATAATGTTATATACGAACAAGAAAAAAATGAGAGATATGCCTTACATCGAACCAATGTCTGTACTTGCTCCGACTTGCTTCAATAAGTGGATCGATGCGGTTAAAGTCAGGTGGCTTAATAAAATCATGCCGCAGACGATATATGGCATTCAACACTACCATGAAGTACTTTGAAATTGTAGCCCCCAAGTGTTGCCATTGATGTTGTGTCTCTCTATTACTTTCGTTTTGGCAAACAATTGTCAAGAAAATGATCAATTGCTCATCAACACTCATATTTCTAGTACTCCTCAATAAATTTTTTTGTTCGAGTAACCAACTCAGTTTCCTAAAGCAATCGCTGCCCATCCTAATCTTATTGTATATTACCATCTCGTGTCCATTTAACAAATCACTTAGACGCTGCGTACATGTGTAGTGGCTATTATTCCTAGGAGTCGACAATGGATGTTCCAAGTATGCCGTATAGAATACCGCAGCATCGGCTACTCCAAGAATGTAGTCATCATCAGAGTCATATTTGGGTGGACCATTGTTATTTGGGTTTGATGGTCCGCCACTCCACATTCTGTCTGCCACAACAATTCACAATATACACACCAAAATTTGGTATATGAAATGAACAATGTTATATTATATAAAACTGTAATGGAAAAGTTTGGCATCAACAATCAATTTAGAAGTGCAGAAGCAATTATGCATAACATAAATGGAAGTTTTAAATCAAAGTCTACAATGCAACATGAAACACACTCACAAACTAAACACGATATCTAAAGTCGGTGTCAAATTGAAATGAAATAAAATCGTTTGTTGTAAGAAACCAGACAGTACATAGAATGAAATGGAAAAAGAAATTATGCTTAAAAAATGAACACTCAACTTAAATCTCATCACTTCCGGTTCCTCCAAAAGGGCCGGGTGGGGGTGGGAATTGGGGGTTCACGAAGAATGGTGGGAAATTTTGGAAGTTAGGAAGGGGTTGTTGGCCAGTAGGAGTAGGTTGTTGGAAGGATGGTTGTGGTGGGTTAAAATTAGAGGGTCCTTGGGGAAAAGGAGGCTGATGTTGTGCGTAGTTTTGGACCGGTGGTAAAAAATGTCCAGGCGAACCCATATATGGTGGAGCGGGGTTCATATAATATGAAAATTGTTGCTGCACGTTGGGTCCTGGATTATTTGGTATGGTTTTCAATGTTCTCAATGCGTAAAATAGCCTTTGACTCTCGTTCATGCCCAAGAACATCTCTTGACAATTAGGGTTCCAATTTATATACTCTATGAACAACACGCTTTGTTCATCGTCTAGTAACATCTCACTAATAACTGCCTGACACTTCTGGAGCGTTGTATGCCAGGATTCCATGCGCTGAGAAGCACCTGAACTTGTACCTCGACTATTATGTCGCTCATTCAGTCTAGTTGCAATACTTTTCAAAATAGATTTTTGCCTCGGGATCCACACCTCATGCTCTACTTCTGCTATTACGCTTCGATATATGTCGAGATGACGAGGCAATGTTCAGGGGACGAGTTGATGAGTTTAAAGCCCCTCTCATTGTGTTGACAAATACTTCCTCACCCTCCAAAGGTTGCAAATTGCCGCCTTCAACTTCTTGCTCCCCTACTAGCGGCTCAGACACATCACATTCCTCATCATTCTCATCCAACCCCGCTTCAAATGCACGCCTACTAGCAAACGCTTCATAGTAGAGCTCATAATTCTTGAGGGGATCCTTGCATGCACGCTTTGCCCACTTCTATGTCTGTTGAACACATAAAACAAATAAAGCAATCTCTAGTGGCCACAAACAAGTATAAAATGCAAAACACAAGATCCAAAAGGCCAACTTATGCATTTCCTTGAATTGAATTATGAAAGCCAAATCAACATTGATAAGGACTAAGCCACAATTAATGGGCAAGAGATAGCCCAGCCCCCCTAAGGCCCCCCAGCCCAACTAAGGCCCCCCAGCGTAAAAGGCCCAAGCGACCCCCCAGCCCCTAAGGCTCCCCAGTGCCTAAGGCCCCGCAGCCCCTAAGGCCTAAGACCCCCAGGCCCTAAGGTTCAAGCCCAGCCCTGTAGCCCCCCTAAGGCCCCTCAGCCCTTAAGGCCCAAGCCCCCAGCCCCACTAAGGAACTCCAGCCCCTTAGGCCCAAGCAAAGAACTTTTGCTAAATATAACTCAGAGCCTAAATTAAGTTTTTAAAAGAGGACCAAAATGCAAAGAAATGGTGTGTTTCTCTCCGGGATGATGTTTTCAAATGGTTCATTGTTCAGTTCTTTGTTGTTTGACTCATGTTAAATGTCATGAACAAAAAAGCATATAACAAAGGAAATTAGGGAGTAAGTATGCCATATACTAACCTCGCAGAAATCATTCCAATATTCGTCAATGCAAGTTGGGGTATTCTTGATTGGATCCCATCCTAGTCCGGTGTTTGTTCAGAGGGCGAGCTCCGCGTTGAATTTTCATTCCTTTGCCTCTTTAACGCGCCCTGGAGGAATAGGTGATAAAAAAAGTGGGGACAAATCTTTCGCCCATTGTTCCCAATCCGCCGATTCAAGTTAATGACCCCTGTTGTTTTTATTGTAGTCCGCAAGTTGCTTCAAAAGCGTAGTTTTTTGTTTCTCAGACCAATAGAAGGTCATGTCATCCTCACTCCGTCGCGGCATCTAATACATACAAGCAAGACCACCAACCACAAGAACAAAGTGACATATGCGACGACAAAGAAGAAAGAGGATTAAAGTACATAATCTTTTGATTTGCTCAGATTTGGTTATAATCATATCATTTCAGTTTCGGAGCATTATCCTCCTAGAATGGCACTTATGCTACCAAACCACATAGTAATAGGCTAGAGATTTAAAAGCATAGGTCATAATGCAATAACAAACGACAACACATGACATTCAATCCAAGAAAACCTAATTACATGCAGTAGCAACTGATAAATGCCAGAATCCAAAAGGATATCGCTACAACAAAACTGATATGCGAAGAAAATCATCACTGCCAATGTACTGAATCCAATAAGAACAAAGAGTTCATCTGCACAACAATGCAATGTCGAAAGAACTCACATATATGTGAAATATGTTATCCATAATTAACTTAAACTCTACTGCCAATGTACTAAATCCTTAATCTTTTTAGAAGTTTTGAATATTGGAAGCTTCTAAACCTTGCACACATTTCAAACATTGTGTGAAATGGCTTCCTGCCTTTCTTTGGTCTCATAGGTTTAATCATGTTTTTTTTTTTTTCTCTCAGTGAAGGACTTGGGGAGGGATATGCGGGACATAGCATTTGCAAGTGCACAGGGAAGCTTTTGGTGGAGGGCATAAATAAAAAAAGCAACAAAAATTTTGACAATAGCTATGTAAAGACAGGGGTAACTTATAGAACTCACAAACCTATTCATGTTGTCTTGCTCTGTTCCTATTCATGTGTAAGAAGCTTGGAGGGCCTTCACTAGTCTGGATTAGAACCCTCAAAGATAGGCTGGGCCCAAAACTTGTGCAAATCATTTTAATGGATTAGATCGAAGCTATGCAGAGAAACCTATTTATCCGGATTGTACAAAGTTCACAAAGCTATCCTCCTTGGTGTTTATTTAATTTAAAAGGTAGATATGGAGTGAGTGATAAGTGTTTTTCAAACTTACTTGTTTTTGGGAGAGTTATTATAAGAAGACAACGGGATGCCCTCTACGACATGAACTTATTAGAGATTGTTATGGTGGTAACATTTTTGGGCGTAAGGGGGATCACTAATCTTCTCATTAGATAGGTCAGATTTCCCCAATTTTACACTAATCTTTACTCACGGGATGTGGAACAAGTACATAAACCTTACAATCAGGTTGAGCATTTCCAATATGCCCTACGGACCATTCTTTTGTTTTGTTTTTTGGCATCCTTCTAGTTTATTTGTTAATTATTAATGACAGATTACTACAGAACAACATGCAATCTGTAGGGGTTATGAAGGCCTAGTTCACCGCCGAACTTTTGTTCCAATGTTCGCCTACAATCTCACAAATCGTGTGGCAAAGAGGGGAGGGCTTACCGTGTTCGATCCGGTGGAAGAACGAGTATAATCTTCCGTGAATAGCCCCAAACATGATTCTGATGGAGTACGGACAAATCTCCTCCGCCGTCTACAACCGGCACAATATCTCCACTTATGTAGAGGTTGAGATCGACGGTGGCAGAGACATCCACACAGAACAACGGCTAGCGGAGGACGTCGTGATTCTGATGAAGGAGCTATTTTCTCCTTTTTGGGCAAATTGGTTCACGGTGAGGAAAGGTTTCCTCGGTCAATAGAACAAGATCTGGCTCAAACGGAACAACTGTCTCAAACGAAACAAAGATCTGGCTCAAAGGGAATAAGATCTGGGTTGTAGCTTCACCGCGCGGGTTTAAGAACACGAATTAGGGAATCAAGGCTATAGATGATGGGAATGGACAGAGAAGAGAGAGCTTTCGGAGGAAGAGGGACGAAAACGGATGAACGAGACAAGAAAACGGTAAGGCGCGCAGAGAATCTGTAAAGTTGGGAGACAACTTTCACTGTAGCTTCGAGTTAAGGGAATTCAGGGGGTGGTTGAATTCCAATTCATGGGCATTAACTCGAATTGTGATTTGAATCACAATTCAGACAGGGTTAACCGAACACATATTTGGGCTGTGGACTTAACTTGAGTTGGGCTTACTCAAGTTGAGTCCACCAAACGAACACATAATTAATCTTAAAAATGATCCATGAGGTTTAACCTCAATCTTATTTTAATTTCTAACTTTTTAAACATCGCACGGTTAGTTTCTAGAGTTTTATTCCGTTTCAATTTCGGTTATTCTATTAGTTTCGTGTTAAATATTTACCAGAATTTGTAGAAATTATTGATTAAAATTAGAAACATATAAAGTTTAGAGACTAAACAATACAAAAAACTAAAAGTTAATTTCCACAGATTGACTCAAAATTTTAAATGTTTCTAATATTGGACTATAATTTATACATATTCTATTAAATTTTAACGTCTAGTTGATGTAATGATGGCAATTAAAATAAAATAAAATCTCATGAACCGTATATGCGATATTTGAAAAGTCAGGGACTAAAGTAGAATTGAGTTTAAATTTCACACATTATTTGTGAAATTAACCCAAAAATAAATATAAAAAATAAATTAGTTTGATGAGGATTGTTTTTTATTTGATTTTCCCTTAATTGTGTATGATTTTATGCATTTAATTAGTTTCCAGTTTTAATTTTGTAATTAGCGTATAAATAGGCAACACTATTATGGACAAGGCAGACTATGAATGATTATTGAAAAAAAAATCTCAATTGTTTCTCCCTCTTGATTTATGCTTCCTCTTCTCCCAATTTCTTCCTCAATCCCTAATTCCTATTCTGTTTCTCTCTCATTTTCTCGGATTCATCTTCTTTCTCTGCCCGATTTCCTTTTCTCCCCTTGTTCTACATCAATTGGCATTAGAGCCTGTTCATTTCCAATGCCGATGAAGTGATCTACAAGACTACATCTTGGCTGTTG